ACACCGAGACCGCCTTCCTCGAACAAAATGGAGTTTCCCCGGGGCCTGAACTCCGCCTACCGTGGTCCACCCACGTCGTTCACCCGATGGATCCTCCTCGCGCCGCTCCGCGGGACCGACCGCCGCGCCGGGGCTCATCTTTCACCGGGATCTCGCCACGCCGATATCCCGTCCCCGCTTCCCTCCCTCTCCCTCTCCCTCTCCCTCTCTTTCTCTCTCTCTCGCGCTTGTTATTCCGCCGGGGAATTTCAAACGATCGCAATTACGGTCCCTTTCCGACAGCTTTCGAGTGGAAACAGAGCGAGAATAACCGATCCGTTCGCATGCATTTAAATTCAAATTGGACGCGCTCCCCCTTTCGAAATAAAGCTCCTTCGGCTCGGCTGAAACGCGGGTACCGAGCCGATCCCGGGGGATGGGATCGCGATGGAGAGCTGGGGAAGGATTCTTTGAACGGGTGAAGAACAATCTGAAGAACGGTTAGACATGCGGAGATTTCCTCGATTTATTTTATACACTGTATCCTGTAAAGGTTCTGTTCCTGCTTTGTTCGTTTGTTTTAAATATAATTGTGTGCGACGCGCATCTGTGTCGTGTACGTACGTGTTTATAATTACCGATCGGCCGAGAACGCGGTTCGCAACGAGAATCGGCCCGCGCAGGACGCTGTCGAGCCCTCCGCGGGGTTGCAGTGGTGAGATTCGGTTTCCGGTGGGTAATACTGTCCGTCGCGGAGCGTCGAGCGGGATGCTCCGAGCGTTCGATTTCGACGGCGCGTTCTTCCTCGTCCGATACAACGAAAGGTGAAAGAAATGTACGGGCGCGCGGCTACTTCGCTCGCGAGCGAAAGTGCTCCGCGCTGCGCGGGTCACGGGGTACCTACGGGGTAGGTATTGGTCGAGTCGAGTGGAAAGATTCAGAGGAATGATAGGGGAGGATAGAGGGAGAACAGCTTAGAGAAAATATAGACAATCGAGGAACGACGGTTCGACGAACGTCGTTCTCGAGAACAGCGCGCTCCTCTTCGGGTCTTCCGTCGACGATCGACGTTCTGGCAGTGCTGTTACTCCTTTCGAGACCGGTGTCAGCGGCGTTACCTCTGAAAAGACCCCTAGATAGACGCGCGGAGACAGACATAGAGACAGAGAGAAATTAACATACATCTTTGGCACAATAAATACGAATACACGGTGTGGTCGTCTTGAGTCGGTGTCTCGCCGGTGAGAAAACAGGGGGAAATCGGCGATGGCCACGAACGAAACACCGAGGGTTCGAGCGCTGGGTCTCCTGATCGATCACGACGCGATGAGATCCTTCGGATTTCCCTTTGCGCGATCGTCGAACTCGCGGAAATCAATTTGAGGAGAAACGAGAGAGCGAAACGAAACGATCATGAACGAACGTCGCGACGCAGGGAGTTACACGTAACGATATTACACTTAGCACCTAAACGGGGTTTCATCGCTTCGACAATTATTACTAAATCATCACCGCGCTCGGCGGGTGCCGCGCGCTTCTCGAAATGAAAACACAGGGCACTTGTCGCGCGGTGCGAACATCGAAATCGCGATCGTCGTCTCTCGGTACACGCTCGCCGTGAACACCTAGGCCTTAACATTACGCACGGATAATATCCTGATGCGACGATCGTTGCCGACGCGACGTCGAGCGCACCGATCGTCGGTAACATTGAAAAAGTTCCTAACTAACTTACCGTCGGCTCCGCGGCGATACCTGCCTTACCTGTCGCCGAGAATCGCGGTCTTTTTCGAAGGGGTCAACCGATTGACCCTTTGCACTCGAGAGGTGACTCGGTCGCCACTCGATTTGATACAGCGAACTATAGAATTGAATATTTAGTACTTTAACCCTTGGCAGTCCTATGTCAGACTCGACTACTTTATTGCAACCTCTACCTGTTTTAACAATTTTTTCTGTATTTGTAGCATCACAATTGTACCGTTTAAAGGTAACGTTTCAATGACTCACGAATATTCTTGAATAAATAAAGCGTATTAAGGTGTAATTAAATGAACTAACGTCGACGTGAACCTCGAAGGAACCGAGAGCACTTCGGACCGCAAAGGGTTAAATGAAACTTTGTACTGCTATAGGAAATGTTTAAATGAAATCACTTCGTCGCTTAGTTTATCCGTGAATGATCGTTATATCAGTTTCAAACAGTGTCTATCTCGTCGAGAAATTAACCCTTTGCACTTGAGAGGTGCCTCTCACCAATTGATTTCATGCAGTAAAACTATAAAATCTGATACTTAATATTACTCCGTACAATGCATCAATTTGAGGAATATTCAAACAAAACAGCTTTGTCCCTCGATGTGTGATTTCTCGTCGAGTTAGCTTCACAAAGTATTCTCTCTATCTCATCAATAAACGTTAAAATATTTCTAATGAAAAACTTTCGAGTACGAAGGGTTAAACATTTCCAGTGAAGAACTTTCGAGTGCAAAGGGTCAAACGAGCAGGCGATTCCAAGCTTCTTCGGTGGGTACTGAGTGTCCCTAAAAAGCAACGAAGAAATCGTCGAACGAAAAGAGGATTGGGTCAGAACTGGTTGGGACTCGCGTCGATTGAAATTGATTTATATTATCAGACCAGACAGGAGATTCTGCGTGCTTCAGACGAAAACATTCGGCGTTAACCCTTTGCACTCTGGAGGTGACCCTCAGTCACTGATTTCCTACAGTGAAGCTATAAAGTCTGATATTTAACCCTTTGCGGACGAACGTCGACATTTCGACGAGATGGAATTTTCATATTTGGCAGTCTAAGTCGTGAACAAATGATTTAATTACTCGAATAGCAAGAGGTCAGCAAGTAGTTTTCTATTTCTCTATTGTTCCAGTGATCGATATATAATTTAGCTTCTGTGGATGGTTTTGTATATCCCAGAATCTTCGTCCGCAAAGGGTTAATATTATCCTTGACACAACGCATCAATCTGAGAAAAATTCACGTAAAACAGCTTCGTCCAATTCACGTGAATTCCTCGTCGACTTGGTTTCACAAAATATTCATCAGAAAACGTCGAAACATTTCCAGTGTACTTCGGAGTGCAAAGGGCTAATCCGTTCAGACATCGATTAGTATATGAAACATTCACAGTCTAAATTGGCGAGCAGCTTCCCGAATCTTCAATATATATAAACATTCACGGATCATTCGCACGAATGCTTTATCTGAACGAAACCATCCGGATAATATAAATCGACTTCCGAGGAGCGCGCCTCGCGTTGAGCCGCGGCCAGAAAATCGTCCCGAGAGAGTTCCGATGCGTCCGCGTTTTTGATTCGAGCGTTCGCCTCCGCGTCGCGATATATAAACGCCGCGCAATGGTAACCAGCTATCAGAAAGCACGAGTATACTGGATTTCGGTCGCCGCCTATCGCTGTTTGATTCTCGCCGCGCGGCCTCGGGTCTGCGCCCTCGGCCGCGATTATTTAAACGCTAAGTCTTCGGGCTAATTCCTCGTTTCCGTACAAAGTTTACGCCTGCTCCTCCGATACAAAAGTTTCGTACATCTAATCGAATGTGTCATGGTCGATCGCAGTCCGTCGACTACTCTACAGCCGGGGTGGTGGTGCCTATTTCGAAACGGTCGCGCGTTCACCTCGCGGGAAATTAGGGGGGAGTAGAAAAGAGTCTCGGGTCCTCGGCAATCGCCGTTCCGATTCCCTCGATCGGATGGCGACCCTGCTCCGGTCGTTTTCTCGTCGTTTCCGGTGTCCAAGGTCATTCCTCTTCCGAATCAAAGAATCGTCCGCGACGCGACACGGCGGGATGACTCTGTGGGGTGGGCCGCGACGAACGGTCGCAGGTCTGAGGAAAACGTGATCGCAGCTGCGTCCTCTCTTCTCTCGTCTTCGGTCGACCAGTCTTCCGGGTGCGATTATATTGTCTGGCGCTAAGCGGGCACGTGGCTCGGCACGCTCGACGAGGACGTCTGCAACGGCGAGCGGGCCTGGTGGAACCTCAGCAGCTCCGAGACCGTCACCGCCACGCGGACCACGCCGCGGCCGCCCTCCAGCACGTCGCTAGCGCAGCACACGAGATTCTGGAAATTACAAGGCGTGTGCGTTTATCATTAATCTTCTAAGATTATAGGGCAACGCGGAGGTTTGCGATGGCGAAGACCTTTGGATAGCTTTGACACTAGAACTATGTAGCAGTCGAAGTGACTGGTTTTTGTTTGTTTCGGGATTATTGATGTTTTAACCCTTTGCACTGCAGGTTGTCCTGTAATCAGCTGCAATTAATTTTTATGGTATTCCCAGCGAAAATTAGAAATGCTGTAATATTTCCTCGATCTTTTGTTTTATTAGTACAAAATTTGGATGTGTGGAACATCGAATAATTTTAGGGTAGTTTCTTTAAGATTAACACGTTGAATGCCATGGTCACCGGTGACCCCCAAACAAATTGAATTGCTATGGTTCACTCAATTAAACGATAATTACTTGAAAACGTTTCCATATTATAAATAATGTTATCTAATATGGTAACGTCTAGCTAGATGAATGTGGAATAGTAATAATATAATTATATTATAATTTTTCTATTTTCTGTATTTTGCTCTATGAAATCGTGCGACATTCAACGTGTTGAAATATTCTATATTATAACTGGTGCAGTATTGGAGCCTACAGAGTTCAGAGGGTTAAAAGCGTTGAATGGTCGTGATGATTTTGAAAATATGTAGTTTGATTTGAATAGTATAGTGAATGACTGAAGAAATCGATGGTAGTCTATTGTTACTATTTTTATGGGAATTATATGTAATTGTATTAAATGTTCGGTAGTTCTAGTGTTAATGCTTTCTAATAATGAATATTACTTTCATATGTGACTTTTGAGTGAGAGCCAATAGGAATTTGTTCCTAACGTTTCACTATCATTGCAGCTGACTTCATCAGGAGCTAAAGACACTTAGTTCACCAGTAGTTTCTAAACTACAACAATTAAAAAGTTCAGCTGAATAATTAACTCCTTGCCCTATGATTTATTTTTTAACCGTGACCGATGCAACTACTTTATCATTAATAATTTATTAGGAAAAATAAGAATTTTGATGCTTGCTTTATGTCTGTCTCCAAAGGTCAACGATTGATAATAGAAGAGTAAGATTTAATTTGTAATTAAGGAAAATAAACACTTAAATTTTTCAGATTCAGTTTAAAATTTTCAGCACGAGTCTGACACGACGTTGTAGGTCAAGGGGTTAAAAACTGATGACTACTGATCCGGAACATGAATCAGGTGCCTAAATAAAGACAGTCTTCCTAGGTACACCAGTATCAGTGTGTCTTTCGCTTCTGATGAAGTCAGCTGCAATGATGGCGAATTGTTGGAAACAAATTCCTATTAACACATTGCGTACCGGCAATTTTCAAAAAATTGAATTGTTCGGATGGAAATTTTCAGTGAGATCAATTAAAAACAATACGTTTTCCGACTTGATCTATGAATAAGAAAACTCCCTGAACAAAATTACATAAAACCTTTAAAAATTTGTATAGTAATTATGTTCTTGATGTCCTTTATGACTTTTTGAACAACAGAAAAACAATCTTCTAATCCCCGTTTTGTAATTTTGATACGAAGACACTGATAACCCTGCATAGAAGATAGAAGATATATATATGTATATATATTGTTATGTAACATATTTTAACCCTCAGCACTCCAGGTTGTTTTATAATAAAAACGCTATAAATAATAGAAATGCTATAACATTTCTTCAATGTTTTATTTTCCTTCTCAGCACAAAATTTGGACGTACTGAAAATCGAATAATTTTCGAACAGTTTCTTTAAGTTTCAAATGTTTAATATCATACCTGATGCAACATTGGAGCCTACAGAGTTCAAAGGGTTAAATAGATAATAAATCCGAATCAAATTCAATATCTTTCTAAATGCTGTAATTAGCAAAGTTGCATAGCTAAGCATCTTTATATAAAAACGAGATTTCACGTTGCCAGTACGCAATGTAACTCCCATTCGAAAGGAACTTACGAACGTAAGTTCATGGAATTTTTCTTTCCTCATGGAAAATTCTTTATGGAATTCGATAGCGACCCGGTCACGACTCGCGCGGTCTGTGTCACGTTGTTCAGGGCGGAGTTTAGCAAAAAGAATATTTTATTATCAGTGGAAATAGTGTTACAATCGTTATCGGTTAGTCGTACAATCGATGTTACAGAGTACGGTTGTTCCGTTGAATGCGAAATTGTTTCCGGCGACCGTTCCCCGGGACCGATCGGAGCAACGCGAACGCAGCTGAGCGGGCAAGGAATCACGATTCGCGTTTCGTCATTCGATTGCGAGCGAGTCTTCTTTTTGGCAGCTTGCGATCCTCGTGTTTCCATTGCGCGTCCCAGTCGTACAGTTAACACGTTGACGGCAGAATTCACGTCAGCGGGACTCTTCGAATTGTGCTTTCTCTATCAACCCTCTGCACTCGAGAGTTTATCGGAAATGTTTTATATTCTCCGATGAGATAGTAACGATATTTTTGGAAACTCGTTTAACGCGTCTCGTGAGTCTCAATTATATTTCCTTCAGTCCAATGAATTTAAGCAAAATTTTAAATGAAACTGAAACGAGTCACTAAGTTCCTAAATATAATGCAGTTCATAATTTCTAATAACAATTATGTTTTCTTCAATCCAATGAATCTAAGCAAAATTTTAAATGAAACTGAAACGAGTCACTGAGTTCCTAAATATAATGCAGTTCATAATTTCTAATAACTGTTATATTTTCTTCAGTCCAATGAATCTAAGCAAAATGTTGAATGAAACTGAAACGAGTCACTGAGTTCCTAAATACAATGTAGTTCACAATTTCTAATAACAATTATATTTCCTTCAATCCAATGAATCTAAGCAAAATGTTGAATGAAACTGAAACGAGTCACTGAGTTTCTAAATACAATACAGTTCACAATTTCTAATAACAATATCTATAGGATAAATTTCATTTTGATTACGTAAAATATAGGATTACAATCAAATTACAAAAGTGACGTAGCAAACGTGTTAACCCTCTATAGACCGAATTTTTGTTCATGATTATAACAAAATCTATGCAGAACAAAATTAATAAATATCCACATATGAGTACGAATTAACAATGCATTCGATAGTTTCAATAATTTCATCAAACGAGTATATTTTGTAACTTTCACGTCTGAGCGTATAAAAGTTGAAGTTAACCGATTACTTAATTTTACTCACCACTTTGAGTGCAAAATGAAATAAATCAACAAGATTCCAATATACTGACACGTGACTTCAAAGTTACATGGTCCTACAGTGTTAAAGAGAAATTACACGTGAATTAAAGTTCAAACTTGAATTTCAATATTCGCGTATCGACACATTACAGAAAAATTAATATTAACTATCAAACTTCAAAATTTCTTTGAATTTTTTTTTTCGAGAGTCGCTCTCGAGTGCAAAGTGTTAACGTTCAACTGCATGGCAATTCTATCTACCAAACCAATCCAACGACATTCGATGATACAATGCGAGCCAACGTGTCAAAGGTCGAACGAGTTCACCGCACAATCCACTCAGAAATATATTCCATTCCACATTCGACAGGAGATGAAACGATAGGCGTCTATAATACATTTAACATCGATCGGATTGAACCTCATACATTTAGCAAAAGTGTTAATTAGGCCTCCCTCGCGGAAAGTTACCCCGGTGAACTCGTCCGACGGTGAATTGCAGCCGTTCCAAGAGTCACAGGAATTCGGTTCCACCCATCGATTCGCGGATCCTGGTCGCCCGCGAATCCAGGCGGCGCGACAAACGAAATATTCATCGATCGCGAGCTCGCGACCGATCGGAAGAACGCGAATCGAATGGGAATAGGAGCCCTCCTATCCCCGAACATCGTAGAAAAGAAGCTTAGGCTTAGAAAACAACAAGGTAGAAAACGAACGAAGCACCGATTTCATTAGAGCGATCGTTTCAAGCACGCGAATCGCTTAAGTACAAATTTGAGAAACAAAAATGGAAACGACCAAAGAAAGTGGCGTCAACGTATCATATATCTGTGTTCATACAATACAGTATGATATAATAAAAATAATAATATTAATAATATAATAATAATAATAATAATAATAATGTATATATATAATATATATATACGCACCCATTTCATTCTCTCTCACATTCGCTCGACACACGCGCAGCATGCACTCTCTCATTCAGATCATTACAAAAATGATACTTATACAAGCTAATGCAACGGAATGATTTCGTGTGTTCGGTCTCGTTATCACGCGTCTCATCTACGTCCGCGAGGACGCGTAGAATCGACGATGCAGCCTCTGACGAAGAACTAGTCGTCGTGAAGGAGGAATCGTAAAAAAAAAGGTAAAACAAACAAGAATAAAGAAACAAACAAACAAAAAAGGGGAGCACCGCGGTAGAAACAGCGGGGACGAAGATCGTTACGAAACGGACGAGTAAACTAACGCGAAGCGTGTCTGTTGTGTATAACCAGTCTTACGGTTGCGATTGATCTGTCGGCGCTGACGCGTCTCCTACGATCATCCTGATCGGAGTAATACTGATGATGACGGTGCCCGTCGAAACTCCCGTCAGCGCTCGAACGGCCGTCGAACGGTGACGACGGGTCGATGGGACGGTAGGGGCGGGGAAGCGGAAGATTTGCGAGGATGAAAGAAAAAGTAGATGAACGAACGGAGATTAAGTAAACTGGTCGAGCCGTCGAGACACCGGTATGCGAAACTTTGTTACGTGACTAAAGCGAGAACAAAGGAAAAATACGAACCTGCTGACTAGAACCGAAGGATCGACGCTGGAACCACCGGACCGAGCGGAGTCGGTGCTGAGTCGTTTCTAGGATCAATGGAGAGACGCATCTGCTCGACGTTGCAGGTAGAATGAAATTTAATTATTAACCCTTTGCGGACGAAGATAGTTTGAGGACGAAGTCTTCAACGGATGAAGTTAATAGGAACTATGTGTTGCTCTCTTGCTGCTTCGCTAATTAAGTCATTTCGCGACTTGGTTTTCTAAATGTGAACATCTGATCTCACCGGAATGACGACATTCGTTAACCCATTGCACTTGGAGGTTTTTTGACGGGAATATTTACTGTTTGATGAGATATAGACGATTCTTGTTGCGATTGTTGTAATTTAGATAAATTAAGGGAAAGAGTGTTCTACTTTGATATTTCACGTAGTGATAAGTTATATGGAGTTTAGTATTGAACGAACTTTAGAATTTTACTGTATGAAAAAGTGGTGATGTCACCTATCGAGTGTAAAGGTTAACCCTTTGTATTCGAGATGTTTAATGAAATGTATTCGAAGTATTGAAATCGAATAGTTCCATCCCTTGATCGACAATCAGAAACTTCTAAAAAGATTGCAATTTATAATTCATAAAGTAGACGATAAATAAAATGATGATTGTAAGTTTGATCAACGTTTCGCTAGGAAATTTCGAAGCCTAAGTTGCAAACAGATTTTACCCATTGCAGCGAACGACATTTTGCAAACTATACTAATGCATTTGTTTATTCTTCGGTGATATTCAACGAAAATGATGTAAGTCGATTCTGTGCACGATTTTTCAAACAAAGAAAACTACGATTTTAACACATTGCATACCGGTAATGAGAAATCTCGTTTTTATATGAAGACACTTAATTATTCAACTTCGCTAATTACCACAGTACTGAAAAAATATAAAATTGAATTCGAATTGATTGTCTATTTAAGATATATTACACAACAATATATCTGAGTTTTTCTATGTATAAGTTGACCTCACTGAAAATTGCCATCACAATTCAGTTTTCTGAACACTACCCGGTACGCAATGCGTTCATTGAAACTAGGTTAATCACCGATTGTACCAATTACCTTCATCCGCTGAATATTTCCTACATCTCAAAGAATCCATCAAAGGGTCAAAGAGTAAATTCAAAATCACCAAGGTATACCTGAACAATTACATTCCAGCGATTTCCGCGAAACAACAACGAACAGTCTGTCCAACCGTCCGGTGGTTCCAGCGTCAACGTAACACTTACGATTAGAAGTAATACCGAGGACTAGAAACGGACCAACGATGCGCGCGGTCGATCGACGCGGGGGCTGCCGAGATTGCAGCGAAAATGGAACTGATTATCGTCGACTGAAGTGGCGCGCGGGACTTCTCGGAAGAACAGGCGCGTGTTCACCTGAACGACCACGAGAGCCGGCGCGGCCGCGTTTATCGTCTCTCCCGTCGAGATAAACGCGGCGCGGTGTCGCGATAAACCCGAGATACAACGAGTTTCCCGTGTAAAAACGGGGGAGGAGATTGTACGCCGTTCGAAAAATCGAATACCGAAGGTAGACCGTGGCCGATCGTTTCCCGTGGAAAATTCCCCTGCGCGCGTTCGATCGATTCGTCCCGCTTCGATGTGGACACGATGTGCGGAAGATTCTCGGAGAGAACGGAGAACGACGCGCTCATTCGGCCACGCGTGTTTGGCACTAGATTTTCGTGGATGCTCGATCGGCAGCCGTTCGCGTCGGTTGCTGGAGATCGCGCGGAGATTCGCGCTAAAACTACCGAGCAGTCGAGTTCACTTTGGTGAGTTGTTCATTTGACGTTTGGAAGTGCATCGACTTCGAGGACTTAGAATTTCGTATTGTTGCCGATTTAACACTAGAACTACCGAGTATTTGACCCTTTGCACTCGAAAGTTTTAGAAATATTCAACGCTCTTTGGTGAAATATAGACGATTGTTGCGACTAATGTAAATTAATCGATAAATTGAAGGAAACTATTTTACTTTGATATTTCACATAGTGACGCGTTATGCAAAGTTTAGTGTTGAACATCGAACTTTATAATTTTATCAAACCAAGTGACTGAGAGTCACCTCCCGAGTGCAAAGGGTTAACACAATTAATATGTAATTATACAAATTGTAATAGATTGTTTTCAGTTTCTTGAGATATTCATTGGAGTATTCGAATGAAACTGTTTATTTTCGAGATCATTTCGAATATTGAGTGCTTTTGAGATATCGATAATTGCGGAACAAAAAGATCGAAACCAGTCATTTTGATGATGATCATTCAAATTGACTTTTGAAAATTGAAGCACAAATGCGTAGTTACTGAGACTTCAATTGGGTTAACCCTTTGCACTCGATAGGCGACTCTCAGTCGTCAGATGAATTTATACAGTAAAATTATAAACTTTTGTATTTATTATTAACCTTTGCATACTGCGTGATTACGTGAAATATTGAAAGAAAACTTTGTTCCCTAATTTATGTTCGGTTTCTTGATAGATTAATTTTAAAGGATCTTGTCTATATCTAATCGGAAAGTATTGAATATTTCAAGTGAAACACTTTCGAGTGCAAAGGGTTAATTCAGGAATTACTAAATCAGTTTCCACAACAATTTCTGAAATTCTGCTTTTCAATCATTCTAAAAGGAAATCGGGAATAGTTCTAGTGTTAATTTCTTAGAGAAACTTTAAGTGTTGAGTGATTATAGTGGGATTCTGTTTGACCCACCCGGTAGTTCCAGTAGACTCCCTTGCCTCGTTTCGTTCTAGACACAATAGTTGCTTTATCGTCGACTACGCGTTCACAGAGAAAAGAATTGAACGTTCGACGCGAGATTAAGTGCGTTGTAAACGTGAAGTATCGATAATCGGAAATGTTTAAGAGACGTACAGAGCGTTACGTTACAATATTGATAATCGGGAAGCTATCTAACTTCAGTCGGTGTGAATTGGATAACGTGCGAGGGACTCCGCCGAGTGTCTTTATCGCGAGATCGATTCGACGCGATAAGGCAAGGGGTTGCTCGAAACGAAACCTGGAAGTTAATCGCGGCTCGAAGACTCGTTCCTCCGAAAACTCCTTACTCATAGACAATAATCCCTTATCGTACGGATATATTACGCGTAGAATATGATATACGCGCGTATAATGCGATTCTAAACGATACACGTGGTTTGCCGCGCTACACCTCGTCTCTCTCCCGCCGAAACTCGCGTTTATACGAAAATATGTAGAACATCTTAGGCTACGGCCGAATTGCTTGGCCGGTGAAGTCGCGTGAATGGTATCGTTTTCGTTCGTCGCCGTATGGCCGAATGCGGACGAGTGGTCCTTGACGAAACGTCGCCGCGACGACTGTTCTGGAATAAACCGTTTCGAATCCGGTCGAAAAATGCCAAGCGGCGCGATGGCGTTTCTCTCCTTTCGATTTAGAATCTGAATTACATTTTCCTATTTTTACGAGAAATTTTCATTTTTCCAGTTGTAGGGTAAGAGAAATAACGCTGAGTAATTAGAAGGAAAAGAAATAAATAAGTGATATTAACACACTATCGGCGGGAAGGGTATTAATACCTTTTATGCAGAACGTACGCTAAGTGTTAGTAACACTTACCAATGCTTGTTCTTTTCATTATCACTAATTTTTGGGCAGTCGTAATTTTTTAATGTCGTGTTTGTGCAGTGCATAAAAAGAAAAGTTGAACTTCTTATATGTGTAAGTTTTGTCAGATTCCCCTTCGTAGGGGTGAGTGTTTTCAGAAATACCATACATTGAAAAAATATTAGAGTCAATAAAATTACTATATAAGAAACTGAATAATAAAATATTCCTAAACATTGTTACGCTTTTCTCTTACTACGTGAACTTTTAATACTTTCGAAAATTAACAATTATTGTTTGGTCCATGTTATACATTAAATGAAGTAATAAAAAACTAAATTAACAATTGAATTTTTTTTTAAATTTCATCTACATCTTGGAAATACTATGGGATACCTATTTTCCAAATTTCATTGAAATCCTACTATTAGATGTGAAGATATTACATGTTTTCTAAAAAATGCACTTTTTTCATACTTCACTAATTTTCGCTATACGTGAGTCAAGCTCATGTTACCCGCCGATAGTGTGCTAAGTGATAATCCTCTATCGAACCGATAGACCGGCACTTTTCAACGATGAAAAGAGAAATAATAAATAGAGAAGCGCCATCGCGCCGCTTGGAGCTCGAACGAACAGACACGAAGTTGTCTCTGAAGAGGAAGAACTTGGTGTCTATGATTTCGTCGCGAACCGATCGTGCACTTTGGCCGAAAGAAACGGAGGACGAGGGAAGAAGAAGAAGAAGAAGAAGAAGAAGAAGAAGAAGAAAAATTGAACCATCTTTGTACCGTGTCGAGGGATGCGATTTTCCGGTTTCCATGTTGGCTCCTACGTGAACGAAGGAAACGAATGCTGGAACGAAGGGACCCTCGAAAGAAGTGTCGACTTGTGCGTTAACAATCTACGTACCAAAATAGGAAATCCTCGAAACAGAAAGAGATCTCTAGCACCTTGTTTGCGAATTCTGTAGTACTCGAAGGCTACCTATCACAGACCCATCAATTCTGAAAGAGCCGTAGGCGATTTCATTGGTCGAACGTTAAAAAAATACTAGCATCCTTTTCTTTTCTCATTCTCATCCTCATTCTCATACTCATACTCATTCTCATTCTCTTTGCTTTGCTTTGCTCTGCTCTGCTCGAACCAGGCCGCCCGGCGGACGGTCCTGTACCGCGGGTACCATCTAAGAAGATTCCTTTCGTGTCTCCGTCGTGTCTCCCACGAGAGATTCGTCGACCTTTCACCGGACAGAGAAGATATTCCTGCGGGCATCACCGATATCGTTGGAGACCAGGCTTCACTCGTACGAAAATACTATTCTCTCGTCGACGTTTGCCCAACAATACAGCCTCCCCGGACATGCGACGATCAATCTTTAGAAACGAGTTCGACAGACGATCCGGTTTCAACGTGCGAGCGTTCAGCTTTGATTCAGTTCTTTGATTGTGCGTTCTGTTTCGTCGCGGGACGTCTAGCGAAGTGCTGACCGGAACTCGGGCGAAGCGAACGCCCGAGCCCTAGTTCAGGGTCGTACCAACAAGTATACTTATCTAACCTACGCACTACGTAGCGTTTCCTACAACTAGGCGGGCTAAATGTACGATCAAAAATCCTCGTGCTTAGGGTCTATCGCGTGGTACTTGCACGCCGCCGCCGAACCACAGAGCGAAAGAAACGAACGGAACCGGTGGAAGCTGCGGGGCCGCGATGCGGTTCGCGGCAACTAAATCGAAGTTTACAAAGCGAAGCGGTGTTTGTCTGCCCTCGTCAGGGAAACTGGCGGCTTCGAGGTAGCTCGACTCGGTAGCGATGCTCGTTGCGCGAAAGAGCTGGGAAGACGCTTTCGGCAACGAAGAGTAACGGTGTCGACGAACGGCGAGCCTCGAGCGTTTTAAAAATCACCACGAGTGACTTTGATATTAACGAATTATCGATGGAAAGAGACACGGATACTCTTTCCAAAGGAATCATTGTCAGCTCGACGATCATCGGCACCGACATGCCAGGTGACTCTGCGCGACACTCAGTCCTTCGCTCTAAGCAAACGGGCGCGAAAGAAAAGAGAAGGGAAACGCATGAGAAGATTATGCCGCGCTCTAGAGGTACTAAAATGGCGGGCGAGGCAGGAAGAGTATCGCGCGGCGGTCCGATCGAGCGGGCCGACGACTCGGCGACGATAGACTCGTCGAAGGAGCGAAATTCCGAGCTTGCCGCGTCGCAACGGGTCGCCGCGGCTCGGTACATCGGAGCTATCCCATCTTCGATCGTGCCACATTTCTCCTTCCGAGCGTCGTCGTGTTCGATCCATCGTTTTTCGCGCTCTGGCGTTCTCGTCTTCGTCGCTCATTTCGGTCTCATTCTGTTCCCGTCTCGTCTCGCACCGCTTAATCGGGGACCGGGAAGAGATAGAGCAGAACAAGGGTGGTTAGGAATGTGGCGAAAAGCATCGCGGAGAGAACGCGGTCCTGAATCGTACGGGATGAACCTGCGGCCGGCTCTTCGGTATCGTTCTCTCCTTCGTCGCGGAGAAGGAGAAGAGCGGAGACGAGACGCGCCAGAGCCTCCAGCCCGTACGCGTCCATGTAACCCACGTCCATGATTGCGTCCGCGTCCAATAACACCTCCTGCAACACCAACAACGATACTACTCAGTCCCAATCTCTACTTCGTCGCTGCTCGATTGTGTCTTTTGTTTTGTTTTGTTTTGGTTTATGTAAGATCTCTTTGGTCCCTATCTCCCTTTCGCCTCTGTGCTACACTTTCGAATACGTTCCTCGAGATCAAAGATTCATTCGGACGAGCGGTGAACAGAGATCGTTAATCGGGACGAACTTGAACTCGAATGGTTCGACGAAGAGACAATATGATCAAAGACACGTGAACACGCAGAGGAGTGATCGGGATGGAGGACTCTCGCGGACCGCGTTCACAGCGTTCGAACAAGCGACCAGCGACAGAAAGCGAACACGAATCTAGCATGCAATTACTTCTTAGTTTCTAGCTTCTCTGTTCCCACGTGTCTCTCTCTCTCTCTCTCTCCTCTCTCCTCTCTCCTCTCTTTTTCTCTGTTTGAACTTCGTCGGGTGTGTATCGGGGACACTGACGGATTGCGCATCATCGCGACTCAATCGAACTCGGGGACTGACTAGTAGTTGTTGGAAACATCATGGACAAACGTACCCGGTAGCCTCCGGTGCGTTAGCTACGTTGTCGACGGATCCCTTCTCGTTAACATCGATCGCACGTGACGTGTATGTTCGTTTCGCTCCGCTCGATCGCTACGAGTTATACCATCGGATTCCTGCGTCCGCGCGCTTCCGGGGAAGCGGCGCGAACGTGTCGTATCGAGCTCGTGGTTATCGCAAACAAGTGTGTGCCCGTGACGGAGAGTTAACGGGAAATCTAAGAGCGTCGGGCAAGCGCGAAGAATCTCGGGAGGAGGATCGGGGGACAAGGTGTCGGAATAGCTGTCGCTTACCTCGTCAACGCCTATCTTCCGACACGCCTCGAGGAAGTTGTCGACGTTGCGCCTGCATCTCGCCATCGTCAGCTTGGGCTACGGATGGGAAAGTGTTCGTTTGATTCTGTGCTCGTTTAGAACGAAGCTGGTAATATTAACACGTTGAATGCCGCATGATTTCGTGGTACGAAATACTTGAAATGGAGAGAATTTAATATTAAATCATTTGATTGAATTGCATTGGTATTGTTGTAGGTTCATCTAGCTGAATGTCGACACATTAGTTGGCATTATTTATAATATAGAAATAATTCTATTATTTCTATTATTTATTATAATAATTCTATTATTTCTATATTATATAATAAATAATGCTATTATTTAATTCTTCGTTTTCAAATAATCATGGTTCAATTCAGTGAACTATAGTAATTCGGTTGGGGGTCACCGATGACCCCCATGGCATTCAACGTGTTAACCGTTTGAGTGCTGAGGAACGCTATAGCGCTCTTGTGTTGTGCCAAAATTGCGGAGAGCGCAAGCGCTTCTGTTTATCAGTAACAATTATAATTTTCTTACTGTTTTTCAAGAAATGAATCAAAGTAAATTTATTTGAATATTATTTTTTAATATTTTCTTGTAATAACACAATGTTTGTGATCTCGTTAGATAACTCTTATTAATTTTTTTGCACACACCCAATCGCTTCCGCAATTTTGGTAAATGTCCACAAAAGTTGTTTAGCATCCAAACGATTAATATAACCAGGAGATGCTTACCACTGCAGGCGAAGGAACGTGAATACTGGCAACCGACCGTGGCTTCACGTGGTTCGCCAAGTGACAGAGGACGACACCGTCCGTCAGCGCCGGAGCGAGGTCTTCCGGCAGCGCCATTTTCAGCCTTGTCTCTATATGCTGAAAAGTGATTCGAGGTTCAAACGATTCGATTAAACTTCCACTACCGCTGGCGATTAACACGCTCGCCACCAGTCACGTATTTGTCACGGCCGTAATCCTATATTTTACGTCAGTGTTTCCCAACGTGGGGCAATTTGATCTTTAAACGGGGCCATTTTAAATTTGAAATATCACTTCATGTATTATAATAAGTATTATAAAAATATTATATTAGTATTATATATAATACTAAATATTGTAAAAATGTTATATTGATACTATATATAATATTAAATATTATAAAAATATTTCTCCTAAGGAAAATATAAAAATGGAACTGAAACGTGTCGTCGAGTTCCTAGATATAATGTAGTCTCTAATTTCAAATAATATCTATAGGATTAATTTCATTTTCATTATGTAATTTCACTGAGCATTCTAAAATTCGTATGCCCCCTATGTAACATATATATAATTTCTAATATTATAATATATTAATATTATATATAATATTAAATATTATAAAATATTAATATTATAATATATTAATATTATATATAATATTAAATATTATAAAAATATTATATTATAATATTAGAAATTATGTACATGTTACATAGGGTGCATAAGAATTTTAGAATGCTCAGTGAAATTACATAATGAAAATGAAATTAATCCTATAGATATTGTTATTAGAAACTAGACTACATTATATCTAGGAACTCGACGACTCGTTTCACTTCCACTTTTCCATTTTGTCTAGACGACTTTGGATCGAAGAAGATATAACTGAGACCGTCACCGAAATAATCGCTGGTAACGTGTCGACTACTCACATTCCTGAGCTGCTCTATCAAGTCAGCCTCTTCCTTGGCACGCTCGAACTCCCGTCTCATCGTGAACGAGTATTTCTCCGGAACGTTGCTGTTCCATGTAACCGACCGCGGAGACTTCGGGCTCCCGCCGTTTCTGCTAGGACTCTTGTTACCTGTCAGACATCAGGATCGTTACATTCAATCGAACAACGTCAATCATCGTATCAAAGAACGTCGTATCAAATTACCTTCCACGTAGCCAACAGCAGTTTTGACTAGTCTGGGAGTGTGTCCGGGACTAGTGCCCGCGGACAGAATGCTCGTCGAGGTCTTGATCGGCGAGTTAGGCTTCTTGTACGGCTGCTCGAGGTACTTGCCATTCTTATTATTGTACTCGCTGTTGCTGCCATTGATGATCGGCGTGTTTTGATAGTTGATGCGCGACGGCGTCACTTTCTGCACTGGTCTCTTCGTGGCGTTCTCCTCGTTGAAGATCTGTTTGCCGGTCAGAGCGACGGCTTCCTTATTGTTGCTCGAGTCCGTCTCGTTGTTCTGCGATTCATTGCCGGGCGGTGTCACCTGTTCCCGGGGCCTGTACACGCTGGGCCCCTCGCTCGCCCTCTGTTGTCTCAACGCCTCCTTGTACTCCCTGGAAAGTTCATCGACGAATTAAACGACCCCGAACTACGGGAGGACACCGGAGCTTCGACTATTCACCTTCGCGTTCGTCGGTCGATACGCCGTATTTTTTACGCTGCCCGCATTTTTTTCACGCGCGGCGAGCTTTTATCTGACCCGCAACGGGCAATCGAAGTTCCGAGAGAAATCGCAAACGATTTCGTTGCTAGATCGCGCGTAAAGCGGTTAATATTCTGCCGCGCGTGACTTTCGGAAGATTGACGGCTAACCTTGGTTTTAGCGGGAACCGGAACCGAATGGGAGGTTCCAACGATTGTACGGTGGAAATGGATCTACATATTCCTCCAATATGGCGGAATATTCCCGAGTGTTCTGTATTTTTGATAGAATCCCGCGGAAATCGCCGCTTTCGCGCGTTACACGAAATGCTACATGAAATTCCCCTTGAAATTCTCATCTATGAAGTTCCATCCCTGTTTCTATGCAACTTCGATGGAAAATCGATGTCTTGAAGATGCATTTGAAGATACCTCGTTAAGATACTTCAAATGTGCTTCGATCAACATCATGAAACACGTGTTTTCGATGTGGCTATCGAACAGTCTGGAATTTATTCGAACAGAAGCGATACTAAGAAGAAAGACTGACTTGTCCGTCTCTCATTGTCCGTCAGAAACAGCCCCGCGCAAAATTCAGCCGTGCCTAAGAGGTTAATATGGAAGGGGTGAGCAGGAGCTCAGGCTTGGAATCCATAAGTGAGAGTTGCTCGGACTACTGAGGTGTACAGCAGTTTTTTAATTTGGATTTTTAGATTGCTTTCCCTGTCAATAAGGGGGTAAAGGGTGCGGAGGCAGGCGATTGCTTTGTTTGCTCTGTCCTGTATGACTAGATTCCAGAGTTGCTTAGATATATTACTGATGTGGACCAGGGAATTTGAGTTCCTTGGATTGTGAGACCTGATTGTGGTCTTTTCCTATTGAAGTTTCTAGCCTGAGTTTTAGCTGGATCGACGTTTAGCCTCCAGTCTCGAAAGATATGATTTGGTCAAGGTGTTTTGGGCATATTTTGCAGTTTGGATCCCTCGCGCATTCCCACCCGCTTCTAACACACCCCCATTCGCTTTCTCACCCTTGCATCCTTCTCATCATCTTTCGTCCATAATCAAAATTCACGCTTTTCTCGCGGTCCAGTCGCTCGGTTCCACTCTTCCTGGCATTCCTTCAGCAGCTAAAAATTTTCTAAACCCAGTCACACTATTTTCCAAACATCCTGGTCGCCCTTGCGCGCAACGAATCATTCACTCCACGACGCGAAAAAGGAAACCGTGGACCCGCGTACCTGTACGTTTGGATGTGATTCAGAGGCCTCTTCTCGTCTCCGTTCAGCAAAGAGGTAGCGTTCGCGGTCGTGCTGTGCAGAGGCTGAACCGGCTGGGTGTTCGCCGACGCCGACGGGGCTTGGTTCAAGTGAGAGGTCTCCAGGGGGCTGCAACGGGAGATTAACGGTTAAAGGTATAAAAGCGGCAGGAGCGCGGTTACGAGCCGGCACGGGCTAACTAACGCGGCGCGTTACGGCGCCTAGCGGTTTCTCATCGGCTTATGAACGGGTCGCTTGCTTACCCCGGCGGCGTAATTGACGCGTGATAGAGGCCAGAGGTCATCGGTCTTCTGACGTCGGCGCCGTTCTCCGAGGTGCTCCTCTCCAGCCTCCTCTTTTCCAATTGATCGTGCAGTATCATCGCCTGCGAACAGTGTTACGTTGATGCGGAGGCACGGACTGACAGGTAACGAGGTGAACGTGGCGGAGCGGCCTAACCGGTCGCCGTCGAATCGCCATTCGGGATTCAACGCCTTATCTTTATCGATAGGTTTGCGGACGTTTGTACAGTTTCTTGGGAATTAGAGGTTCAACCCTTTGCGAACGAGTGTCGACACGACATGAAATGTTCGTGTTTGGAAGACCCCTTGCCCTATTTCTTTCTCAACTATGATCGACATAACCAATTCAACGTCAACTTATATCATACATAGAAAAACTCAGATATATTGTTATGTGATATATTTTAAATGGATAATTAATTCGAATTCAATTTTATATTTTATTCAATGCTGTGGTAATCAGCGAAGTTGCACAGCTAAGTGTCTTTATATAAAACCGAGATTTCTCGTTGCCGGTACGCAATGTGTTAACACGTTGAATGCTGTGGAGGTCACCGGTGACCCCGACCAAATCGAATTATAATTCAGTCAGTTAAACGATCGTTATTCGCAAATATTTTTATATTGCAAATAACACTATCTAACGCGATGACATTCGGCAAGGAAAATACAAGATCGAAGGAATGTCATTAGCAAGTTTCGCTAGGAATACTATAAAAATTAGTTGCAGTTGCTGATAGATTACAAAACAACCTGAAGTGCTAAGGGTTAAAATATATTACATAACAATATGATATCTGAGTTTTTCTATGTATAGTAATATAAGTTGACCTCACTGAAAATTGCCATCACAATTCAGTTTCCTGAAAATTAGTCGGTACGCAATGTGTTATCAGCAACGGAGCAATTAATGCCGCGATTTTCACATATTTACCAAAATCAACCGCAACCTAAGAATCCTGTATAAAAATCTAGCGTCCGATAAGGGTTGAAACCAGACAATTGCATATTCCTTTGCTCCAATGAAAATCGACGAAGTCGTTTGAATCGTTTCTACAGTTAAATGGCAAAACTCGTCAAATCGACGCGTTCGCACCTAGCGTTCTTAGGGTATCGATTGATCGTCGCGCGGCTGCATTCCTTCCGAATGCCGATTCGACGGCGACGCAGGATACTTGGGCTGTCAGGCGTGCATCAATCGCGAGGGACGCTGCGTGCGTCGGGCCGCGGCGAGTTCTTTCAATGGGTTAAGGTCATTCAACGAGGCTTGAACGAGGGCCAAGCGCGCCGCGACAACACAGATATCATTTGCAAGGGGCGCGCGGCTTCTATTCAATCGCTAAATATAGACGTTGTATCACGCGCGGCTCGTTTCGGAGTAGACTCCTCCGGGCGTTACAAAATCCGCGCGAAGAGAGCCAGTCGCGGACCGAGGAAACCGCGGGAGGACCGTACGGAGGTACGCGTCCGTTTGAAAGTAAAACCGCCGCGAGTCGCCGAGGGCACCTTCTGCGAGCGGACACCCTGACAGTCGCTATTCAAGTGCACTGTCGAACCGATCGTTACTCTTCGCATTGGAACTACCGAGCGCTTAACCTTTCCACTGCGAATATATATACGCCCTCGTAAAGCCGTCAATGCATACGACAGGCGTACAGCTGCTTGCGATAAATAAGAGAATGGATGTTGTTCATTTGTAATTATTATTTTGTTAACTAGTTAACTGGAATTTAGTTGGAAAAACCTCTCGTTCTGCAATAAAGTAAAATGGAGCGTGTACTCGTCGAACGAAGGATGCGCGTAGAGTATATTTTAACCCTTTGCAGTCGGGAGGTGACTCTCAGTCATCACCTGATTTGATACAATTAAATAACAGATTCTAGTTTTATTGTATCAAATCAGGTGATGACTGAGAGTACGTTAAATAATTAATGTACTTTCATTACGAGAGAGACATTAGAGAGACATTAAATATCAGATTCTATAGTTTTATGTTAAACTTTGTATGGTGCCTTGATACGTGAAATAGAATAAAATAGTTTTCCTCAATATACTGGCGATTTCTCTTCGAGTTAATCTCAATATCGTCTTTGCCTCGTCGAAGAATGTTAAATATTTCTAGTAAGAAACTTCCGAGTGCAAAGGGTTAATGAAGGATCAAAGCGAAACAAAGAATTGCATGTTTATGTGGAAAAAAGAATTCATCACTGGAAGAATTAGTATCGTATCAAGCTTTACAATGACGTGTGTACTCGTCAAACAGTTGACTGGTTAAACACTGAAAATGGTATCAAATTATATGAAAAATTTCTAGGGAAATAAAGTAACCTGAACACTTCACTTAACACGTTGAATGCCGCACGATTTCATGGTACAGAATACTTGAAATGGAAAAAATATAATATCAAATCATTTGATTGAGTTGCATTGTTATTCTTGCAGGTTCATCTAGCTGAATGTCACCACATTAGTTAGCATTATTTATAATATAGAAATGTTTTCAAATAATCATGGTCCAATTGAGTGAACTATAGTAATTCGATTTGGTTGGGGGTCACCGGTGACCCCCATGGCATTCAACGTGTTAACCATTTGAGTGGGAAGCACGTCCGCTTCTCCGTTACTGTCTAAAAGTGCACTCTATCGGTTCGTAGAATCAAATTTATTTGTCTTCCTTTTAATTATTTATCTTCCTTGTCATTTCTTGTTTCGAAATGGAAAAACGGAACGATCGCCTATTTTTCAATCTTTTCACGTAAAAATAGGAAAGTTTGCCACCTTTCAACCAGGTTTTTTCAAAGATCCGCACTCAAACGGTTAAAATCTTAACTGACTTACAATATAATTTGGATATTACAAAATCAACGTCTTCAATAGTTTCTCAAATAACCATCATTTCTCTTTTAACCCCTTGGCCTATGATATATTTCTCAACTCTGGTCGATACGGCAGCTTTGTCATTAATAATTTATTGGAGCAGTTTTCTCCATTAACCAGAAACTGAGAAATCAAGATTCTTCTTAGTAATTGCTCCACTATCTTTCTTATATCTCGTATATCTTTATGAAGAAAACAGTTCTGTCACTTAATTTACGCAAGGTATGTCTTTACGTTAATTGCAAAAAATATCATTGACATTTCATCAGAAAATAATGAATATTCATTGAGAAAAATATTCTCGAGTGCAAAGGGTTAATACCATTAATAAGCAATTCTTATAAAAATTGTAACAGATTTTCAGTTTCTTCAGACATTCATTATAGTACTCAAATGAAACTATTTCCAAAGTCATTTCGAATATTCAATGCTTCGAAGATATCAATAATTGCTAAAAAATCGAAACCAATCATTCTGACTGGTACGGTAGTTCTAGTGTTAACCATTTGCACTCTGAAAATTTGACACTAGAAATATTCAATTTATTCTTATGAGATATAGATGACATTCTTTTAAACTAACAACGAGGAATCTATTCCCAAAATAAGGGGAACAATGGAATTTTATTTCCACATTTCACGTATCGACAGATTACTCAAGACTTAACGTTAAGTACAAAATTTAACAATTTTGATGCGCCAATCGAGTGGTGACCGACAGGCACCTTTGGAGTGCAAAGGGTTAATAATCGAAAGAAATCAGGACCGTTAATTCGGATCCATCCGGTAGTTCCATCGCGAGTGACTCGCGACGGTTCCGCTCTAAAATGGACGGCTAGCTTAACGAACGAACGGTTGTTCTCGCCTTAACCTACCTTGCCAAGCTCGTCCTCGAGTGACGTGTGCTCGCCGGGCGAGATGGTGCTCGGGGTGGAGGTCCCGCTGCAGGATCCGTTCACGATCGCATGCTCGTGCGGCAGAGTGATCGAAAGCGGCGAACATTCTTGCCGCCATAGACCTCGAATCTCTCCGTCGTGCACCTGCGCGCAAAAACGTGTCCAGCAGGAGGTACTACGAGAAAGTCGTCGACATCGTGCGTGCTTGGTTTCATATTTTGCGTGCGTCCGACGCTAATTTTATTTGTAAGTATACTCCCTCTCTCTCTCTCTCTTTCTCTCTATGTTTAGCGTTCGATATCTACATGTTCGGATAGGACGGGAGACAAAGTGTGTGCTACGCCGGCTCAAAGTAATCTACGCCGGGATCTACGGGCCGGCTGGCGAAAAGCATGCTGTACAGCCGAGAGAAGAAGCGCAGAGTTAAGGAGAGGGCGAGTAGAACCGCGAGGAAACTAACCGCGCTGTGGATCTCTTGGGACCAGCGTTTGTCGACGCCATCGCTGGTGCTGTACCCGCTGTCGACGTTGTGTCGCCTGTGGGACCGCGTGTCCAGGGTCGCGTGACCTCTCACGTCCAGCGGCGTCCTCCTGCCGCGGCCGCCTCTGGCCCTCTCGTGCTTCGCCGCCTGTCTCTCCAAGTACTTGAAGATGTGCGTTCGCCCGCGAATGCATAGCTGCGGGTGAATTAACAGATTGGTAACTGAGGATGATGAGAATCGATGATTAGTCGTGGAACTTTCAGCTGCGAAGGTTAAAGTCTTCAACCCTTTCGCGACGGGTGCCGTGTATATACGGCAGTCACTTGGTGCATCACAGCTGACGCCGTGTATATACGGCGGTCACTTGTTGGTGAACCGTAATTATATTATTGTTTTATTTCAATAACTCAAAATAAAGCTAGTACTGGCATTAGGCAATACGGAAAATGAGATACACAATTTAGCGAACAGTGGGCGACGAAGTATGGTCAGCCGCGCAGTCGCGAAAAGTGGCGAAGTATGGTACGCCGTCGCGAAAGGGTTAACACTAGGTTTACGGGCATTTATTGTTCAGTTTATTCGTTGATATTCGTTCATTTAGATTTTGGAAATTGTAGATGTAGAAATTGACAATCAGGATTCATATTCGTGTAATTGGATCGAAAACTGATTATAAACATTATTTTACGAAATAATGTTTGTAAAATTCAATCTGCGTCAAATTTACGCGTTCGCAACACGAAAGTGCCAGCGACGATATATCGTTGCGCATCCAATAGCGCCTTACTATACATTGCGGGAGAACTCTAATCGAAATAAATTTATAAAACGTTACAGATGGTTTAATTTCACTGCAAGAATTTTTTGAATTATGTAGATATCATTCTTAGTTTGGTTTCTATGAGCTTATCGTCGCTGGCACTAAAAGGGTTAAGGTTGAGCCTCGAAGACGTAAACTTTATGGGACTTTCCCAGGCTCATCCTTGAAGGTTGATCCTGGAAGCACCGATTCGTACGGTGCTTCGTTTCTAGAGAAATGTCCCCGACGGAGGAACGTTTGCTCACCGAGGCAGGCGGCGAGGTTAAAGGGTTATCGGACAGCCGGAAGTCGACCAGGCTCTTCATCTTCCTCATCTCGTTCGGCAGCACGGATATTCGGTTGCCGCTGATGTCCAACTTCACCAGTCTCAGGTACGTCAGTTCTGCGGAAGATGTTCACGTTTGCGTTCAGTGTTGAATGTCGAGGCGTGACGTGTCTCCGTGAGGAAAAAGCTACCGAGATTCGTCGAATGTTCGACTGATAAAAAACTAGCTGACTCGGCGAGAAGGGTCGACGGAGAAACGGTGAAAAAGAGCTTTAATGCGTGCATTAAAGAAACGTTCACCCGGCTGAGCGTTTCCGTTGATGATGGCCACGAGGATTCCGAGAGTGGACGCGCAACGTTCGAATCGTTTCGGTTTACACTGTATTTTCCACGGAAGGACGTAGGCAATCGCCGAAGGAACATTATCATTAACGTCCCGCTCGGTCAAACCAATTTCGTTGATGGAACGGAAACTGAAAAGTCGAAATTCTTCGCTGCCGTTGCTGGGAGTTCAACGGAATTCAATTCGATGTGTCGGGAACGTGTTTTCACTTTGAATGTTGACCCTTTGACTGTCGAACCTGTGACACTCGTGAATCGCTTATACGAAGTGCATAGGGTTAACCCTTAGAAATTCAGATGATTTTGTAATGTACCAACTCCAAGCCGTTTTAATAGTATCCCTAGCATAAATGAAAAATGTTACATTGCAACATCTCTTAGATTTCTTGTTCCTTCTTGATACAAAATTTGGATGTATAGAAGATCCAGTAATCTTAGGGTAGTTCTAAATTTATTCATTAAAATATTTAATAGTATAAATGGCGTCATAGTGGAGCCTACAAAGTGCAAAGGGTTAAATTAAGTATTCAAAACAACGTTCCAGAGGAAGCAGTGTGTCGGAGTACCTTCAGCATAGAAATTAACCCTTTGCACTCCGAACATTTCAAATGACTTAACCCTTTGCACTTGAGAGGTGACTTTCAGTCACCAGGTGATTCGATACAAAAACTATGAAGTTGAATATGTAATATTTCAAACTAAAGTTTGCACTGCTACGTGAAATATTTAAATGAAACACCCTTAACACGCTTAATTCATCTATGAATTATCGTTAAATCAGTTTCAAACAATATGACCTATATCTCGTCAGGAAATGTTGAATATTTCCATTGAGTAACTTTCAAGTGCAAAGGGTTAAGATTCATTAGAATATCTAATATTTTTTTTTTTCATTCCTGGTGCAATATTAGAACCTACAGAGTTCAAAGGGTTAATCTTTTGCGAACGAATGTCAATACTTTGCCGAGAACAAACTGTCATGTTTGTAGTACTAGGTTGTAAACAGATGATTGAACTACTTGAACAGCAAGCAATCGGCACATAGTTCCTTTGTTCGATGATTATTTAACACGTTGGATGTCATGAGGTGACAACCAAAAATTACTATGATTCATACGATTAAACAATGATTATTCGGAAACTTCTCTATATTATAAGAAATACCGTCTAATGCAGTGACATTCGACAAGATAAACCTGTAACAATGATAACGCAATTCAATTACTCTCGTTTTATTATCGCTTCGAATTATCGTTGAATTAGTTTCAAACTATCGCCTGTATCTCGTCAGAAAATGTTGAATATTTCCGTTTCCATTTCCATTATAAAGTTTGTCTGCATCGGCAAAGTGTTAATTCTTACGTGGCAGTCGGAGGGTCAATCAGGTTCGTCAGTGATGTCGAGGGGACTCACCAATGGGCAGGTGCACGAGCATGTTGCTCCTCAGGTCCAGGGACCTGAGCCTCGCGAGATCGCCCATCCTGGGCGGCAGGTTCGCAATTTCGTTGCAGCCAGCGTCGAGCTCGGCCAGCGCCGACATTCTGCCCAATTCGTCCGGCAACGATGCTAATCTATTGTGAGCGACCAGTAACGTTTGGAGCGGTAGCCTGCATATCTCCCGAGGTAGCGACGTCAATTGGTTCCGACTGTGAACAGAGGATCGCCGAAGCTCGTTAATTTCGCCCGCATCCTTCCTGTCGAAATAAATATCACGCTGAGAGTTGCGTCGCGTACCTAAGATCGAGGTAGTTGAGCGACTGGAGCATCGACACTGTTTCCGGTATTATTCTTATGGCATTGTGGTAGAGATGAAGCTTCTCGAGGAACGGGAACTCGGTGACTTCTTCTGGTAGCTCAGCGAAACGGTTCTTCGACAGATCTGCAACCGAATTACGACGGGTTGATTAAATTTCTTGTGTATTGTTAGTGGAACTATTGGGATATTTATGTGTTTGTAACGAAGCGTGGGAGTATGTTTGTAATATTAGGATGGGATGTTAAGAGTTAGTGGAGAATCAAATTTTTAGTGTATTGGCTAGGTGCTAGGAATATTAGAATATTGACAGTGTATATTTGCAGTTATGGGAATGTTAGAGTATTTATGATATTAGACGGTAGGATGTTAGGAATAAGAGACTCGCCAAATTTTTAGTGTTTTGACTGGGTACTAGGAATATTAGCATATTGACAGTGTATATTTGTAGTTATGGGAATGTTAGAGTATTCATGATATTAGACGGTAGGATGTTAGGAATAAGAGACTCGCCAAATTTTTAGTGTTTTGACTGGGTACCAGGAATATTAGAATATTGACAGTGTATATTTGTAGTTATGGGAATGTTAGAGTATTTATGATATTAGACGTTAGGATGTTAGGAATTGGGAATTAGGATATTATATTTACACTATATATTTACAGTTAGAAATAGAAATGTTAGAATGTTTATAATATTAGGCATTAGGATATCAGGAATTAGTGGAGACTCATCGAATCTCTAATGTTTTAATTAGGTACTACCTATATTAGAATATTGACAGTGTATATTTGTGGTAAGGCATAGAAATGTTAGAATATTTATGATATTAGACGTTAATATATGAGAAATTAGTGGAGACTCATCAAATCTCTAGTGTCTTAATTAGGTACTACCAATATTAGAATATTTATAATTAGACATATAAATGTAGAATATTTATAATATTAGACGTTAGGATATCAGGAATTAGAGGAGACCTATCGAATTTCTAGTGTTGTTTCCGGGTTCCCGGAAACATCGCGAAATGGAGAACCGAACGTTCTCGTCGTTTCAAGAAGGGCCGATTAATTGGGAACATTGGTAGGATTCCCGTGACAACAGCTGTGTGCTCCGGTTAGGGGTGGCCTTCGTGTCCGCTGGGGGTTCTTATGAATGGGGTGCGAGCGACGGCCACGTGCGTGCACAGCCTCGAAACCTAGGAAAAGGATAAGGGTGGCTCAGCTGCTCCCGGCTTCGGACCTCCTTTCTGATCAATAACTACCGTCTGTGTGTTCCTGGCTTCTCCAGGGGTTGGTCGGCCAACAGAGTTCGACTCGGCGTCGTTTCCCTCCGTGCCAACTTTTCGAGTCTCCACGCCTACCGATCGAACGCGCCACTCGACCGACAGACCGAACCAACTACCACCTCGAATACAAACTGTCTCTCACCGTTAAACATTGAAACGATGCGCCGCAGACCGAATATTCAAGCGTGACAACTTGTACGTAAACTCTTTCAAAAATATAATCGAAACATATGATGTTATACATTCAATTTATTATATTCTACAGTGTTCTAATGAAATATAAGTACTACTGTTCACTTAACACCTTGCCATACAACGAGTAAGATTCGCGATGATTTCCAGATTAATTGAACAAAAATCAGTATTGTTCATTGCCGATAGCAAAATGTTAGCAGTAAATTTCAAATACAGCTTTGTAACTCTCCGTCGAGAGTTTCAATGAAGCTTTAAACGAAAAAAAAGGTACTACCCCGAATAGGACGCAAACTTTCCGAACAGCGCGTGTATAAGCGCTAAACGCTGGACAACGTTAATCCCAGGGAAATCACGGTACGCCCTCGGAAATTGGGAATGAACTGCGTATTCGGTTTGCCGGATCGGAACAAGGAAATTCGCGGATCGATCAATGGTACGGAGTTCTCGTCGAAGCTACCCCCTTTGGTTTCTCTGTTTTTCAAGCCCGTTCGATGATTCTATAGGGCCGCACGTGGAATTCTTGTATTTCCGTGTAGCCGTTCCACGTGATTTTGTTACCGTTCAGGATTTCGAAATAGCGCCGCTGGAAACGATTCGAATCACCATTCGTCATCGTTATTTTATTGACAGTGCGTTCCTCCTTTTACAAGCTTCACGGCGGGTGCGTCGATACGGACGAATTACCGTCATCGCCATTTACAGATGGAGAAATAGCATACGCCCACGCCGGGAACGGTCACGAATCCATGGGGTGGAAACGCGGAGCGTGGAACCATCGGAGCACGGTCGGTCGCATAATCGCCGAGCAAGGGCGTCGGCCCGTTCGTGCTCGATGAAGACGCGAATAGCAACCCCTATACCGCTCCCAGACCATTGCCATTATTTGCCCCCGTGGAAACAGAATTCGTGCAAAGTCTGCACTAAAATCAAACACAAATGAAACGTTCCGGTAGAAACCGCTGCACTCTGCAAGATGACCGAATCGATCGCCCTTTCCTTTGAAAACATCGGAAACCACCGTTTCTCATGCCATAGCTCGTTGAGAACATTCTTATGGGGATCATAAGCGTACTCGTGTAATACGATACACGTTACACCGAGACAAACCGACGATACGAATAAAAACATCGAAACGTTACTAATAAACAGTGAAAAGCGGTTGAGTCGTCGTCGGAGTTTCAGTCAGAGCCGCCAGTGGTTCTCAACCGACTCGAGCGCTGTAAAGTCGCGCAGCAGCCAACGCGGTTAACTTCATTTTCTGATATTCTCCGATCCTTCTGAATGTTAATGCAATAACATTTTTTCTAGTTATTAAAGGATTTACACGTTCCTTCGTTTTCCCAGAAATCCCTTCTATAGTTTCTGTGTATATTGTATAATAATATCAGAAGCTCAAACATTAATTTTCTCAATGTTTCTCTTCTGCACGCGGCTTCCAAGCGACTCGTTTATTACCGTTGCTTTATTACTAACAGTAATTCTGTTTTAATCGCTAAGATCTCGCGAGTTTCACCTATACCTAATATACTTAATATTTTCATGTGTACCACACGCGCGCACGTAAATCAACGGTCAGAGCTCGAACCCTTCCAGCTCCAAACGAATACGCTCCATTCGCGTGAGGAAACGTCGAGCAGACTTCCGGCGCTAACGGTGAACGCGGCCCGTTGTGCGCGCGGGCGCCCGCTAAAAATCGTAATCAGCCGCGACGTGGTCTGCTACAGGGTGTTCCACGAAGGGGTCGATGCACCGGCCAGTTCCAAGGACCAAGGTCGAGGTCCGGTGAACGGGGAGATCGATACTACCGCGTCCGTGTGGCACGCGAACGTTCGCGCAAAGCTGAACCAGGCGAATTTCGTGGCGCGGCGCGGCGTGGCGCGATACCGCGAGTCGCATGGGCGTGGTCCCCGGCATCCGTCGGTGTCTCGGTGTTCCCGATAATCGAAATAATGCTGAGGGACCGGCACGTCGCGTCGGATCGTTCCTCCGAGCTGATAAAACGCGACGCGACCGGAATATCGAGCCGCGTTTAACCGGCTCGATCGCGGCGGTGACGCGCCGGTGACGCTCGCTCGAGACAATCGCACCGGAAGGACGGTGGTAAACCTTCCGCCTCGCGGTTTCCGTGTTAAAACTTTATCTACCTGCTCGGCCAACTCTGTTGCACGCTCGCTATCTGCCTGCTGGAATGAAAAAGCGGACGTATCGCTGTTCAACCTTTTAACTGCACGATCGTCGAGCAGCATCAGTACAGACCGCGCGATCTTCTGTCAGTTGGTGCGATTGTTCGCTGACAAATGCAGATTCCTCTAGTTTTCGTTGGTAATGAAATGTAAAAGAGAAGTCTGGAAGTTATAATGAGAAAGAGATCTTAGACAATTTCAACGTGATAATGAAGGTATTAACGATTGTGGATAATAAGATAATAAAACCGATTTAATGATCAACTTGTACGTATATTCTAACACATGTATCAACGCGTAAACCTACATGGCATTTGCATTGATAGTGGAGGGCGTATATTCGTCTTTCATATATATCGACAGAGAGAGTGTATATATGGGTTTCGGATTCAAAGGGTTAATCCAGTAAGCTGGTTTCGAAAATTCCAATGGTTGCCATTGAAAATCAACATATAGTTGACCGAGCATTGCCGTATGTAGTAACCTATTCAAATGGGAGTTCTCGTGAGGCGTAGATGAAACAATGAGCAATGTTCAGCGACAATGATCCTTTCTCCTTTGTAACTCGGTTACAAAGGAAACGAGAGAGGAGAAGAGAGCGTAAAGGTGAAGATATATTGCGTTGCCAAGTGAAATGGAGCATTTCTTCTGAGGATTGATAATGCACGAGCACGAGGACGCAGCGAGCGAAATGCCAGCGCAGAAGGCACTGAAGAGGATCGCTGCTCTTCTAGCGAGCCCTCGTCACGGTCCAAAAGGTCGCGTTAGGTACGGAGCACTTTTTCGCAAATCCTTGAGGCTGAAGGAGGTGGCGGTCGCGGTCTCGGGGCGTGTCGCGTCACGAAACGCCGGCTACAATAAGCGAAGGGTCAACGACCAAGCGCAAAAATTCACTCCGCGCTAATTCTAGGGCGAAGAGACCCCCGGCCGAGCGGAAAATAGTTTCCTCCGCGGCGTGGAAACCCAAACCGTGGCATCCGCTGCGCGTTCGCGACTGTTGCGGTCATTCTTACGGGGGCAATCGATGTCGCAGACCGCAACCGCGTCCGGAGGTCGTGTCTTAACCCTTGTGGGACGACGACGGATTCTCAATGGTGCCGGTAGGTCGTCGGATGTGGAGGAATGGTGTATCATGTCGTACGAGTGACGGACCTTTGGTATGGTAAAAAGTGTAATGTCACGTCTCAACGTGACGCATATCGGATACGGGTCAACACTTAGGCAACAGAATGATCTCTTCGTTTTTAGAGCGACTCGTTGCGTCACTGATCGAGGAGATTCGAATCATCTCGAGAGATCGTTCTAAGTTTTATAGGAAATTAGGAATAGTCGCTCTAATCGCTTGGTAGTTCTAGTGTTAACACACTGACTGTCACGAAAATCATCATTCACGTATCATTTTCTATAGCAAGGGTACAAAGCCAGAATTATTAATTCTTTGATATGAAAATTCTTATAT